AAAGCGACCACTGGAGCTTCTGTCCACCCCTGTTTCGGACTAGAAAGGACTAGAAGAACTGATGACTGAGATTCTTCACTAACTGTACCGCCACTAAACGTCTATTATAGTATTTATTTCTACTATCTAATTCAGTTATTCATATGCCAACCAAAGCTCAGTTATCCATATCTATTTGATACAATTTTGGAAAACTCGTTGGGACTCGAACCCAAGGGCAAGGCTCAGGTACGGCCAATGTTCTAACCACATGAACTAAGAGGCCCCATGGGGAGCAGTGAGTTTAATCCCATTTAGTCAAGTTAACCGCCCAGTCTACTGCCACGCATCGAATCCACCAACAGTGATACAGCAGCCCGACTGCCCGAGCAGGATTCCCTAAGCAATCAGTCTAGAATCCACTAGATGACTAACAAGCTCACTCAATTAATACGTTTTTGGCAGATTTGAAAAATTCACTTTCTGACGGAAACTGAAATGGTCTATCACGACGAGTTTACTTCAAGTTCACGTTATTTTCTGAAGAAATTGAAAACTTAGCCGTGCTGACAATTTTAAATGTATCGACTTTATAGGCTCCAGTCTTATCTCAGTCTTTGGCCTTCGACTAGCAGCCATGTCGGGTGTGGTCACCCATTCGGCCGACCTGACTACAGCAGCTACTTGGTGAATCGATTGCGCCTGCGCGCGCTTTTGCAAGTACATCACGAACAGAAGTCCTGCGCTCATCGCTGCCCTTGAGGAGCATGTAATTTGACAGACAGTTAACATGTATTGCTTGTAAGGACTAACTTTCGACACTACTACCCCGAAAATAGAATACTTCTACTGGCATCAACTCCACTTCTACTGCTAAGTGGTCTTGAGTAAGGATGATTAAGGTTTACCGGATAGTTCTATCGTTGTTTCTGATGATGTTCATCGTGTGCTCCATAGCAGGGCAATGGCAGAGACGGTGACTTGCACGTGGATTTATTTAAAGTGATAGTGGGTTTGCGCAGCATCTACCGCACACTCCTCCTCGTCCTACCCACCTGAGTTCGTTGTCAAGACAGAGTAAAGAAGACTGGAGGCGGGCGAGGCCGCAGGTGATTGGCACGGCATAAACCCGCACCTAGGCGTACCACGACAACACCTCGTTCACAACAAACGCTTTGCCAGGATTTTCAACAACGACAAAATGGGGACGACAGGGATCCCAGTTGGCGCAACGTCAGTCGGCAACTAGACCCGCTCCCAAACCCCAACACTGACTGTTGTTATGGGTACATATTCCCTATAACGCTTGCTGGAGTACGATCTGGCCTATGTGTTACCACGTGCCCGTTTTAAGGACAATTGCTTGTCCACTATCCTGGCTGCCACAGCTGCAGTATAGTCTGCTTTACTTTGGAGAGGAGTTATAAAAAAATTTGAGGCAAGTTGCTCCGGGAAGAATATGTTTACTCTCATTTTCACTGTCTCTTCTACAAAAATGCTGAGTCAGAATTCACGCTTAAATCATTAGTGTTGTGACAGAGTGTACATTGATAATTAAAATCGAAAGTGCATCTTGAAGGACTGCCTGTAGCTTACTCGAAACCGAAGATTTTGCCTCACACTTAGAATACTCCGACAGGAAGTATTCGAGTTCAGTCAACTTGTCCACCGAATACACTACTAATTTCTACTACTCAGCAAAAACATCTGGTTGTTTAAAGGCACTTCGTGGCTTGGTGTTCGAAGGTCACACTAAGACGAGCCTGGATCTGCGTCAAGGATACGGCCAACTTTTCCATACTATTGACTAATGTAAACAAACTTTTGACCATTCGTCTGCGTAAGATTTTTCAGTTAGTTTCTCCTAACAAGTTTGATCACAAGATGTCCTTATTATTCGTCGAGTAGTTTCCGCTAAGACCCGAAATTAAAGTATATTTGTCTCCTCTTTGAAGCAACTTAAATCATCGCCGACAATCTCTACAGAAATCTTTATTTCTAACAGGCATTTAGGGGTATCCTTATAAAACTTATTTAAATCAAAGAATCACTTCATTTTCCGCCTCCAGAGATGTTTCATGCCGATGTGAGACCATTTGTATTCATTTAATTCATGAGTTGAATCCATTCACGAGACACTTATGAAGTTCCTCCCCTGCTGCGTCTTTGACGCCATCCTCTTTTGTCCTCGACACTTTTTTTTAAATTGTCCCTCGGGGTGGAGCTGATGGGCGCTGTCGCTAGCAGTAACACTAGTACGCTTGCCGCCGAACATCTGCCGCTATCGTGGCCAATCGACCAATAACTTACCTCACAGTACGCAGCTACTCGTTTTTCTCTTCCCCTATTAGCTCCAGCAGAAGACATCAAAGAACATTGATAAATGGCCCACGGTTATCTGATTTGCCAAGTGTCTGGTGCCCATTCTCGAGTTGCTCTAAAGTACTTTGTAGGGGGATGAGTCCACGGTCTAGTCCTGCTTCAACAGAGGTTTCAAATTAAGTTATTGTAGCCCTGAGGGGAAAACTCCTATTGAGTGAATGTATGCACCAACAGCTCGTCTATGGATTTCAGCGGCAAACTTTGTCCGATCTCGAAGGCCATCAATCCTACACTATGCCCTTATTCTGTCGGTTTCTCTATCTAAATCCATGGTCATTTCGATAGAGATGAGAGTTCCCGTATTGCACTGCCGATAGGTTTGGCTTATTCTACTGTTAGGCAAAATGTGATGATAAATTTCGAGGCCACTTGCTGATTCACCTGACTCCATGCCCATTTCGTCTGTTGTCGTTTCCTTATTCGTCACCCAAAAAGGTGAACAACGAATTTGTATCGCCGTCACTTAATAAAGGAATTCTCCATCCCGCTGGAAAGCGAGAGTCACCGGTTATATCCAGAAAGGCAGACTCCTCCAGTTCCACTACTGTGGATCGACTTGGACTTAGCTGACTTAGGCACTCGCTAGTGCCACAATTAATGGTCTTTCGTTTGCTCCGTTTGTGTTTCTTTGGACCACGTGCATATGTATGTTCAAGTTGACCATGTCTTTAATGATGTACGTAGTCTGATCGTTTTTTCCTGCAAGAAGTATTGTCTTTGAGTGACTTCTTACAATGCTGAGAAATAGCTTTGTTCTTCTTCGGTCCTATCGATTTGTATGCCTGATCCGGACGGTTATGGAAAAAAACTGTTTCTTTGGTTGCCAGCAATCTTCACGGGTCGTCGCGATCAGAATGGGGGAAGTCTTATATGATATTTAAGAAGGAACCATCAAGGAGTTTCTAGTTACCCTCTCCTTCTTTTTTCTTCTTCTTTTTCTTCTTCTTCTTTAGAACTATCTTCTACTGCTTGAAGGAATGCAGATAAGTTTGCATTATTTTGATGACCGCACCCATCTAGGGGTGCTTAGTTATTCTTACTTAACAGCTGTAGGTTACCAGTGCAGTAAGTTCGATTTTCTTCTCAGGTTTATTTGCAACCAAAGACAAATATTCACAGTATATATATTCGTGCAGCGAGCATTGTGAAGCCTATAAAGGACGCAGCGGCAATTTGGCGGACAAATAGGTCGAGAAAATGTGCCTTCTGTCAATAAACAACTTCGAAATCCAAGCAACACAAATCGTTTTCCGCAACCTTAGTAGGTTCACGCTTTCACTCTTGTACTTCTTAATATAATTACTCGAGCGGGATGCATTGCATTACGTGGGATTCTAGAAATCGAAAGCTCGAATATGAACTCAGCCGACTGGTGTCCAAATCTCCTAACTGCGTACGACACCTTGCGCAACCACCTTCAGGTCTCCAACATTGACTGTCAATTGGCTATAATGCCGTCTTCCCACTCCTGATGGTGAACTTCTATGCAAGTTTGAAGTTCAGAAAGGCAGTTGCACTGTTTCGATACTCCACCAGGCTTCTCGTTCCGTAAATAAAATCCGTTTGTAACGCAAATGAGGACCAGATTATCAGCTGTGATTATTTCGCCAACGATAAGTAGTAGGAATAACATCTTCGTAACTCCGTTTATGTACAGGCGTCTGATGACCAGTAGGACAGATGCATATCTTTCTTGGGCCATTTGAACCAACCACATTTTATTAATTCTTGAATTTTCTCGCTGTTATTCCCTTCAAGTCTAATGCGACTGAATACACTGAATACATCTATATGATGTCGGTTAATGTTTTGTCCGTTCTAAGGTTGTGAATGTGTTGACAGTTGAAAAAAAATTAACAGTCATACAGCATGTGGCTCAAAAGTAAAAGGGATCTGTTGCAATTTATTGATTGCTTCCGGTTAATGGCCAATTTTTGCGCAAGTTCTCCCGAACTAAGCTCGCATTGTTTACATCCGCAATAAAGTTCGCGGCAAAAAGGTGCATATATAACCTGGTCTTTAAGAAACTGGTATTGGTCCGCTTTTGTTCATATGAGGGTCTCAAAGCCAGCCCAGACATGAAAACCGAAGTGAATACTGTTATTCAGGGTATTTTATGTACGACGAAATATGACACGGGAATGAGAGGCAATTGGGGATGACAAGAACTGCGGCCAATTTTCTAATTAAGAGCTAGCAAACTAAGTTGATATGACCTAGACGAATCGTCTGTGACTGGACGGCTATTCACTCTTCATACTCCAGATAATAACTTGTATGTGGAAACTTTTGAAGAGTAGGCTTGAGGAAGAACGGTTTGGAAAAAAACCTTTCAAGCAGTAGGGCGAAACGGCCCACAGGGTTTTCTGGTCCTTAAATGTGTGCCTGAAATCCTAGGGCAGTGACCCTTGAAGGAGGGTCACCGTAAATCTTAAACATTGTGGTGACTTGGCCTGTCTGCAAAAACGCTCGCACGAAGTTCCAAACTACAAAAAACGCTGTTTTCGAAGACGCGAATACGCGGACGGAAAGTTCCTACACGAAGTATGCGGTCATCCAGGTTTGACTGATTTTTCTGCCTCTCACCTGCACTCGTATCGCATTCAGAGATATCGGTTACGTCGGTCTTACTTGGTCACCTATTCTTCTTCATTACATAAAAAACCCAGGACCATAACATTCATCAAATGAGGGAAAATGATTGAAGAGCATGATATAGAAGGAAAGGATTTAGTGAAGATGGCGCTGGAGTAAACTGTAGAAAGGATAGAAGGAATGAGAATTTTAATGTCAAGACTGTCAACTTTTAGTTGAATGCTAATTCTGTTTGTCCTGGGGATGCTGATGATGATGGTGATGAGGGGAGGAGGAGGAGGAGGAGGAGGAGGAGGAGTGGGGGGAAGGATGTGGAGGAGGATGATGATACTGGTGGTAGCGATGGTGGCGGCGGCGGTGGCGGTCACGGCGGAGGTCGCGGCGGCGGTCGCGGCGGCGGCGGAGACGGAGCCAACGATGGTGAATGTGAGAACGACTAGTAAGAAGGTGGTCAAGCAGTTAGCGGCGAATCATGACGAATTAAGTTGAAGGTCCTTCTTGACTAATTCAGATATCGGTATTATTCTGTTTGAGGACAATAGGTGTTCTGTAATTTTCAGCAAGCAACTTGATAAATTTCTGTCAAGTTATTTTATAGAAACCCCCTAATTCCTTCATTTAAAATTCATTTTCTGCATACTCAAGCCAACAGATTGCTACTGGACAAGTTTAATGTCCAGGAGGATCGTTAAATTGTCTTTGCTTGCCAAAGCCAAGCTGGGACGTCGAAGATCTCAACCCTACTTTAACCAGGAGCTAATCTTCGACCGTAAATTTTTTACCTGTCTCCACTCAGCATATTTGAATAAGTACTTGAGTGTCAAAACAATTATCTCTTATTCACGGGCCATACTGCCTACTGGTTGCAACCCTACATACCAGTTCGCAGGTGTAACTCATACAGACTCCGTTTCTATGTCCTATTTAGGGCGCTCTTATACGAATGACGTCAAAGCTTTAGTAATTCCTTAAAATTCGACGTTGGTTAACGGCTGATGTCTTACAGGAACCTCTAGGTGATGCGCTCCTGGCGGTTTTGGTGGATAAATTGTGGGCATTCCTTCCCGTCATGTGCTCCTTTTTACTTTTTCATTCTGCCAGTATCAGCATTATTGGCCGTTTTAGCTGCTCGTTCGGGGCCGCCTCTAGGGCCTACTCAAAGTAACCGTTTGCCTCGTTTCCCAGATGATGTGAAGCGCAGACTCACATACAGAACAAGTGCAATTCCGTACCAAATAGGAAACCAATGCATCTATTGCACCTGGAACGTGCGGAAAATGAGAGCCATTCACTCAGGGTTCCCTCCCCACAGCACGTTTCATTGATATTAAGTAGGAACTAGTCGTTTTAGAACTGCCGTGTAGTTATGTAGTTCATCAGTATCAATTAGACTCTCCTGAAGACTGGGTAATTCGACTCACTAAGACTCCAGATTGATAGCCGGAGTTGACTCAATGATACTTGGTAAAGTTACTTTGGCTAGATCGTAGTTGGTATCCAGGAATGGGGAAGCGCACGGCGACCTTAACCCTAATCCTAACCTTAACCCTGACCCTAACCTCAACCTTAAACGTTAACCGTTAACCTTAACGGCAACCCTAACCGAAATCGCAAACGGAACCGTATCCCTTAGACATAGCCGTAACTGCCAACTTAATCGTAATACTGAAACCTAGTCGTATGCTCAAACCCTAACCGTAACCCGAAAACCTAAGCCTAGAGGCATAACCCTAACCCGAAAATCGGAAACCATTAAGCGGTACCCTCATCCTAACCTCAAACATTAAACGGAAGCTAAATCGGTCAGACGTGATTATGCAACCCCACAAAATAGCCCCAGTAAATAAACCCCCATCCACCTGTAATACGGGACCTGGCTACCAACTGCGATGTAGCCGTTAATTTAATCAAATGTGAAAGTGCCGGGTCTAGTTACGGGTCAGGGGAAACGAAAAGTCGTCCGCTGTAACAAAACTTGCCTAGAAGTTGACCTAACATTGCGAGAGTATATGCGTCTAGACTATCGTTCGACACGTCGCGCGTGAATTTAAGCGGTGGAAGTCTGAGAGTTTAGCGAAGGGACGTCGTTTACGAGGCCGTGGAGGGAGAAAGATGTTCGGAGGGTAAAAGGGTCCTAGAGGCGTAAAAGCCGCAGGCTGTCTCCCAGACATAAGACTGTATTTATTTTCGTACTAATGCTCATCAAATTGGGTGGAGGGGACTAGTATGCTTACTGAACCTGTTGTTGTATTTTGGCGACGAAAACTCTTGACAGAAACTGCCTCCTTGTATCTGAATGGGGTGGTCCCATAAGATCTCTGAGTACGAGATGTTCATCAAGTGTCTCGCGATGTGAAAATGTGGGGCAACCATGGAATAAATCTCCAAGTGACCCCCATCTTTGTCAGTTGTCGGTGTTTGCTGACTAGTTTGGGAGTCATTTCGATGAGGAAGCCTAATACAGGGCCGATTATTTCCAATTTAGATTCCTATGTATACCCTAGGTCCAGAATGTGCGGAGAGCCATTTTTCGGCTTTTGATAAGGTCGAACAACCTGTCAGAAAAGGTGTCATGTGTATCTGCCGGGACTCGTCTGTAAAAAGTAACGTCGTGCCCCTTAATCGGACACAGGAAGAGCAGTGATGACAGAAGTAAAACGGTGTACTTGACACTCGATTCCCATCAAATCAAAATCCCTACCAGGCAGGCAAATTAGAACTTATCAACTTACAACATGTCTTATCATTTGACCGGCAGGCAACGAGAAACATAGCGGAACTTCACAATGGAATGGGCACACACCAATCTGATTTACGCTCAAGCACATTAACTCTGCCCTCTGCTGGGAGACGTCCGAACAGGCAATCACCTGTCAAATCACAAGACAGCAAATGAATGTGTCCGTCTAAGGAAAACATACATACGTCTGAAACAGTTGCTGTTTCGCGCTTTCTGTCCCTGTTGGTCAGGCTCCAATGAAGGTAACTACTGTAATTGAGAGTAGGCGTCTGTGGATTGCACAGTCTAGTCTCTTACCTGTGTTAATTATTTTACTGGCAGCTATCCAGTCTTATTCGGCGATCCGACCTCCACAGTGTCGTGGAACACTTGTTTCTTCGTTGCTTTTTGCTAGCACATTTCCTATGGCGGTCTTTTAGCATGGCTACTGGCAGTCCCACCCATCGTGAATCCGCTAATTAGGCTGCGATGGTCCGGTGTAGTTAATTTCTGTGACAGTCGCTACTGTTGCCCCCTCCGGCTCCATCTGTTCTCAAACTCCGCTTTCTCTTACAGAAGTCGGAAAGTCCACTGTGGGAGCAGACTGTCGTCGAAATTTCTCCTTGTCCCTTATTTACTTCTGCGCCCGGCTTCTACCTCACTGTCACTTAGCGCCAGCTTCGTGTACGTGACCATGTTTTAGGGCCCAGAGTTGGCCCACACTCGGAATGGCCATCTGCCGCCCTATTCCCGAGTCGTGACAGTCCTCCCCCCGCTCACCCCCCCCCCTCAACACCCACCCACGGACCGGTTCCAAACTAACAGCCTGGCCTGTCCGGCGCAGACCTTGCTCACCTCTCGGCGAGGGGCGAACAGTTGGATTTTTTCGTCACACTTCCCTGACACCCCTATCGTACTCATGCCCCCCTTCCCCATGCCCTGTCGCCATCATCGTCACAGTCACGTTGACTATCGTCAAAATAACGTATTTCACAGATATTCAGCCGCCCATTAATGAGACCGTGGTCCTTCTGTCGCCGTTATGAATGAGGACGTGGTGCAGTTAAACCCCCGTGGACAACATTTCAGTATCTTACCGATAAAACAACCCTGATAATCCGTAGTTCCAACAGTTCCGTCGTCCTCAGAACGGATCCTGAATGCATTAATGCTCTTCTGTTTATGTTTTCAATATATGCTGCTCGAAATTATTTCATTTCTTGCTCGTACAAGGGCTTCGTCCAACTGAAGTTGCTAACTCCCCTGAAAAGCCATAAAGTGCTTCGAGTTCTCCTCAGCCGACCTGGCAGAGTTTTCGTTTGCGTTTTGCTTTCATTTCTCCGTAATTACACTTCTCGCTGGTTCAGTGATGACATCAACACTTCTTGATTTGCTTACATTGGTCTTTACGCCTGTACTTCCTGGCGAACACTGGCAGTTGAAGCGTCAATATAATACAACAGTGCGTACCATTCCCTTATCACCTTCCAATTTCTCCAGCTCATCCTCGACAGTTTATATCCCCAAAATGTTATTTGCGCTATGACAAATAACATCTGCGGAATTCTTTCTTTCCTCGTTGTGCGTCGTTCAGTATAGCACCTCACTATGGAAAAGTCGGTTCTTATGCATAGTTTGTGCGAATCCCCGGATGATTGGGAAGAATTACTTCGAGTGTAAGTGGGCACTCAGTAAGGCACATGCCACACTAATCAGGGTATTTCAGCCACACCATGAGAAACATGGAGGCGAAGTTATCCTGTGTGACTCAAGTGATAAAACGGGAAGCAATGTCGTCTGGAAATCATATTAAGACTTTACTCTCACAACTTAACAGAACCCTTGAATCTAACCTTAACCATTTATATTAGCGCTGGGCTAGCATTAGCGTTAGCCTTATAGAAAGGCTAAGTGTGGGACTTATGAAATAGATCAGTTTTGGCGTCACTATTACTATCAGGGTTATGTTCGCCTTGTCACATAACGACTTTTGCAGTCTGTTGCAGCATAAGCCGTAAATAAGCGTACTTAAGCAAGATGAGTAGACGAGTTTTAGGTATAATGACTAAGTAGGGCCACATACGATACCGTCAGCAAGATGAAGTTACGAGTGTGTGGATTTCCTGCATCTCATAGGCTGTTTCAAGATAGTAGCTACTAATATAATCACATTTCGAGACGATATTTTCTGCCTAACGGGTTTTACCACCGACGCAGACACCTTGGTCAAAAAGTTTGACAGTACACACCCCTCACTCAAGTTCTCTGCAGAGTTTGAGGCAGTCAACGAAATCAAGTTCCTCGACATTCTTCTTCACAGACAAGAGGATGGATCTACCCAGCGTAGGGTAATTCGAAAGAAAGCCTGGACGGGACAATACATTAATTTTCACAGGCTTGTTCCCCAAATATTAGACGCAATTTGGTCCAGGGATTGACACCTATAGTGCGGTGTATCTGCTCTCCTGAGTCTTATGAAGCAGAATTCCAGCAGCTGAGGGGTATACTCCACGAAAACCGATATCCGGAAAAAATTATCCTCCTAAATATAAGGGAACGCACTGCGAAGCCTATTATAGCAACTGCAGAAAAAGAGAAGTTATTTATAAGACTGTCTTTTCAAGGGGACGCAACAAGCGACCTAGTAAAACGACCTCCTAAGACAGCGATCACTATCGCTATCCCCGCGGCGAATTTACGCGTATGTTTCACGAACTCTCCCTTTTACACTTGGGAGGTAAATACCGACTACAGTTGCATGTCACATCGATGTGCATTTACTCGTTCATTTGACCTGTGGAGCGGGATGTATTGGCCGTACAAATACGTGAACATATGTGACAGTTCGACCA